GAATTAGTAGTTAAGTTGAGGATTGCGTAGTGCTTTGTATTGCTCCGTTGTTTTGTTTGCAACAAGTTGTAGTTTAGACACCTGATTTCTCGTTTTCAATTACTGGCCTAATTCTAGCACTGAAATGCTGCGTCGCATCAATCGCTACAGATTGGCTGGTCGCACCTGTTGTGTTGTGAAGTACAAAGCCGATAACCGTTATGATGACACGAAAGTTGCAACGCATGATCTGTTGGTTCTTCTAATTTCTTTTAAGTATTTTCGAGGGATTTTTTTACTCGCTCGTTTTTATGGAGAATGCTGCTGCCTTTATTTTTGAGCTATTTTACTGGTTTTCTCAGGAAAATTTTTCTTTCCTGGAGTTTATACTGATGCATATTGGTGCATCATCTTTGTGTAATTGATTATTAGTCTTCGTTGCTTATTCTACTTCGCAGGGAGTATTCTTCTATTTTTAATTTTCAGTCAGTTGCACGATGCAATCAGTGGCTTTAAAATTTCTGAAGTTTGGAACGATCTACTGAGCGCACAGGTTATCGGTATTGATGAAGGACAGTTTGTAAGCCTTGAAGTTGTATATTTGTTACCAGTTCTTTTAAGCGTTCGTTTTCTAAAAAAAATTATCCCATTTAGTTTGAAGATTTAGTGGACTGTTGTGAAAAACTTGCCAATCTTGGAAAAATCGTTATTGTTGCCGCCTTAGATGGGGATTTTAACCGAAAGGTTTAAATTTGACTTATTTTACCAAATTTCCTATGTTGAACTGACCTCGACAGTTTTTTGGCTAATTGGTTATTGAAAATGTTTTAGAGGTTTGAAAACAACAGTGTAGATCTCTGTGCATTAGCAGAGTGTGTAACGAAATTATCTGCAGTGTGTAATAAATGCGGTGAAGATGCAGCATTTACTTTTAGACTGACGTCCAACCTCAAAGTAAGTGCTACTTAAGTTAAGAAGCTTAGTGTTTTGTACAGGATGCTTCATTCATCTCTCTGAAAGTTGAGCCAAAAGTTACTTTTCTTGATGTTATTTTTTTGAAACTATTGTAGGAATTTTTTCAGCAAGAAGTCATTGGTGGAAAGGAAATGTACATAG